ATGTATTGTAAATATTGCACGTGCTGCAAGACATTCTGCAATTCTACGCATTTCCACAAAAAAAATGCGCTATTGTGGCCACTTTGTGCGTCCGTTCGTCCGTCCGTCCGCTCGTTCGTTGAGACGCTATTAAGAGCTATTGCTCTACTTTTTTCGCTATTTGGTTCGTAAAGGTGTCAAGGCTTGCACCAAGGATGGCATTTTTTCAGCGTTTATTGCTAAAAAAGTTATTGTAAAAAAACCAAAAAACCGTTTTTTACATGTTCCATAATTTTACACTTTTGCCGTTTATTAACGATCCTAGAGATCGTTTATAATTTTATATTGCTGTCTCATGTCTGTCATCTGTCTGTCCCTCTATCTGTCCGTGTGAACGATAACTTTGTTAAGAAATGTCCGTTCGCTTTGGCATCTCCGTTAGTTATTAACTGAATTGCATGAAATTCAAATGGGCATAGCTTTATATCTAACGCCAGTTTCAAAATTTGGTTTTCCGCATGCGCAGTGACAACTTTTTTATTTATGGAAGCATTTAAATGAAATTTGATACGTATTTGCTTGAAATAAAGGAAAATCAAACGCCAGTTTCAAAATTTGAGTAACGTTGGTTTTTACACATATTAGTTTGGTGTTTAATTTGTTGTATAATAATTACCTACCTAGTATGTTTTCTATTATTTATGTTTTCTAACGAAGAACAGTTTGACATGATAGCATGGCATGGGCAAAGTATCCTGAAACGTGGTTTTGCGCATGCGCAGAGCCAACTTTTTTATTTATGGAAGCATTTAAATGAAATTTGATACATAGGTGCTTGGAACAAAGGAAAATCTAACGTTAGTTTCAAAATTTAGATTTGCGCATGCGCAGTTTCAACTTTCTTATTTAGAAAAGCATTGAAATGAAATTCTTCTTATAAACTGAAATTGAAGTAGCACGTCAAAAATGGATTGCACATTTGCAACGCTGTCTTTCGTATTTGTGGCCGGATTTTTACGATTTTAACAGAAGTTGCATCTTACAAATGGGAAATGAATGCAAGTGGAAATGCGCTTTTTGTAAATCGTTTACGATTACTTTTTAACTTGTTTTGTTTAGACTTTTTCTTGCAATGTAGTACCTATTTATTTTATTAACATTTAATATTTCAATTAGCTAAAGTGGTACCTATGTACTGGAAAGCATTTCCCCCCTAGCGATGATCACGTTTGTTATTCAAAACTGAAATCGCTGATTATTTTTCTACAAAAATGAGCAATTCGTTAGTTATTGCTTCTGTCCTTTCTCTCAAAAAAAACCATACAAATCGTACTTACGTTGTCCGTTTACGAAAAAGTTGGTTGAAATTGAAAATTTACGTTTCAGTTGGACCGTTTTTAACAAGAGTGAGGTTATGTTATGCCCCGGGATTATGTTTTGACCGTGTCCATATAATTGAGATTTGATTTCGTTCTTCACGCTCTTTCTTAAACTAGACATTTTCATTATTCACTTCTTGGATTTGAAATGAGAACATTTGAATAATTTTTATACCTACAGGCACAGCAATTTTCTAGTTTATTATGAATTATTATAATTCAAACAACCAAGTTACAATTTAACTTTGTGCATTTTCTTATTAGTAAAAGTTGACATCACTTGATCAACATTGATTTTTCAAACGGTTTTATACTCCATCGAGTCAACTTAGCTTAGAGTGTTTATTTAGTGCGTCACGTGTGGGTTTTTAAGGCCTTGGCTTGGTCGGGTGTGCTTACTATGCCAGACTCTGAACTCTTAGAGCAGCTAGAGAGAGAGAGAGAAAAGTCGACGGCTGCGTTGAAACCAGCCTTTAGAAGCATCAAAATATACGCGATTCAGTTTCTTTCAAGGGAGACGCCAGCTGAGGACTCAGGGAGGGGCAACTGAATACCACGCGAGTCAGCCGCAGTTTATTAGCGCCTAGCTGACTGGATTCGTAATCTGATGTCTCGTACCGCTTATCTCTTTCCAGATAGAACTTTATGTAATGTTGTTGGGATATATGTACTATCTGTAATAGCTTATTTTCGTAATGTCATTGTGTAGTTAAACAACCTACTGGAATTAAAATCAGTAGCAATTAATTAAATATTTCCTCTTCAAGGAACATATAACTGATTACTTTCGTAAAAATTTACATCATTGTTTACTTGCAATTCATAATTTTTTCATCTCTTCAAGGATATAGATATTTGAACGTAATTACACTTTTAAACATCATTATTTTGTCGTAAATCATTGTAACCCTTGTCGATATATGATCGATATTGAACGCGTTATTCTTTTGGATGGGTACACCTTCTTTACTAAGCAGTTATGCATATTATTGCAGACGATTTTGAAGTTGAGTACAAGTAGACCAACGTCTTTCATAGTACAGTCAAATTAGACCAAAAAATGGGCATTCCGTCAGACCGTGCATCAGATATGTCATCTCTATTTTTTCTTTTAAATTGTTAGGATGAATATCGATGTGAAAAATCCAAGTGTTCGACATTGAAAGACCTGAGCGAGCGACACAGCGCTTGAAAATATGTCATTTTTCTTACCATTTTTTGGTTTTTTTAAGTTTTACTCCTGAAGGACCGATTTTAATGCAATTATTGTCGTATACTTTTTTGAACAAGACAAAATTTCTGAAAATTTAAGCCCCTAATGATCTCCGCAAGTCTAATAGTTTCCGAGATGCAAATTTATTAGTTTTACAAGTTTTATCAAAATTTGCATTTTTTTTCCGCAGAAACTAAACTTACCAAATTTGCACGATGGCGATGAATTGTCGTAAGTCGTGAGTCGTAATAAACTTGTTGAAGAAGTGTTAAAAATTACGGATAATGAAAGCAAATTAAATATTGATATTTGTCTTTTAGTGGAAAAATATCCATGTTTATATATGATGCCTTATTCAGTGATCATTCAAACCATAGTGTTGTGAGTAAGCTTTCTGCTACTGTCACAGATCTTCTATATTCTGTGGCTCTTGTCAAGCAAGGTCAGGCAAAAGGAAACAATTCACAGATTTCGCAATCCATGTAACAGATAGTGGATCCTGCTGAAGAAGAAGAAGTTGACAACTTTCTGGGAGAAGCTGAGGATCCAGAAGATATCAACAGTTTAGCTCCCTCTGTGTGGATTTATGGAGACTCCTCACCAAGTCCCCCCAAATGAACAAAATTATAAAAATTTGTATGAGGTTTTTATGCAAAAAAAGGCAAATTTGATTAAAACTGAAGAATTTACGAATTTTTGAAACGCTGTATCTCCATACTTACAGACCTAGTTAAGGGCTTGAATTGTCATAAATGTTGTCTAGTTTAAAAAAGTGTACGACACTAATTGCTTTAAAATCTGTCCTTCAGAATTAAAACTAACCAAAACCCAAAAATAATACAAAAATGGCGTATTTTGACTGCTGCGTTGCTCGCACAGGTCTTTCGACGTCGAAAACTTGGATTTTTGACATCCACACTCAGCCTAACAATTAAAAAAAAAATAGAAATCACACATCTGATGCAAGGTATTATGAAATTTGACTGGGACGATCAGGCATTACTCAATTCATTAATTACCAAGACAGGCGACTTTCCGTTTGTTGTATGTTCGTTTATGGAGTGGGTCTGAGTTAAAGCAGCGCCAGCCCAAACCACCCCCGTTTAAACAATTTTATCCAGTTATGACCAAAATATGACTTCAACGCTCCAGTGCTAAAACTTATTGCCTAAATGCTTACCGCGTTTTTCACTCATGTTGACTATCTTATCTCACGTCTCACGCGCCTTATACAGACCGCCCTTAAACTGAATACAATCTCAAGATAAGAGACCACGTTAATAGTACAATATACCCTTTTAAATGTACAAATTTCCCTCAACTACAATGCAGAGAGTAACACAAAATAATTAATCTTAACTTGAATAACAATTACTTACGTTACGACAATATGCCCGTTTTTTGTTTGTTTCGCAATCATGAACAGTGTTAATATAAGTAATAATAAAACATTAAACACATGGTAGTGGAGGAGGGGAGCACACAGGTTATCTTAGGCCCAAGGTTCGGCTAATCCGCCACTGATAGGAAGTGTCATCTTTTCGTGTCCATAGATTCAAATAAAGGTCCGTTTTTTTGGTACGGAAAATGTGTTAATTGGCCTAAATATATTTGGGTAAGAAACTGATTTGAAAGAGCGTCTGCGTACATATCAAAGTACAGGATTGCTACCAATGATGTACTTCGATAGGTATAATCGCACAGACAATGTTGTCTGTGGTAGGTATAATTTCCGCAAAAAAATGGTGCCGCCCTTGGTGGCCAGGCTTTCAGACTTATGCAGGAAAAACTCTATCGAGTTAGATAACGCTAATTGTATGTACCCCAATGTAATTTGTTTAGTTAGAAAACAGACTTAATTGCATTTTCGCGTTTTGAAATACCTTCAATTCATGTCGTTAAATGCATCATTATGGAGAAGACACATTTATACCGCGAAATCGATACTGTACGTCACAGCGATAGTTTATTCTCTAAACAATAATTAATTCTATTTAAAACGAAAATTAGTGCCAGTGCATAGATTTATGAGCAGTCGTTTAGAAGAAGCTTTCAAAAATGTAATTAATTATATTGAGGAATTATCCAGTTACTTACACAACTTTGCTCTATACTGATCCAATTTATCATACATTATCTGCATTTATTGACGGCATTTACTTAAAATGCTGCGTACAAGAATACGTTTTAATGGTACAAAAAGTATCAGTCGAAATAAAGTGTCTTCAGTGAGCTCTTGGTTGATGAAGCTTCTGGGGCACAGTACCATCCAGGCAAAGGTCGAACCAGATAAAGTCTACCGTGGTCCAAACATGTTTCAATACGGTTTCGCCGAAAGAGCGCAACAAACAGTTAATAAAAAGCAGACAAGGTAGGTTAGACTTGATAACGTTTATTTGTGATTCGTATTTTTTTTAAACTTTAGCGAAAGTCAGAAAAAGAGTATTATGAAATTGGTTATGAAACGCATGGAGGAATATTTTCGGAACTCTACCTTGCATGGACTACGCTACGTTGGAGATCCTCTCATTTCGTTTGGAGAACGGTAATTTTCTTCTTGTGTGTTTATATTTATTGTGAAATATTTTGTTTAAATCTCGTAAATGTACCTTAGACAAGTTATAAATGGTAGGTAGCAGAGACTTACCCAGTAATTGTTATACTGTAGACCTTTGAATATAGACTATTTTATTATTTTATAATCAAAGCTGTAGACTAAACCTTTGTTTATATACTATAATTAAAGGGCTAAACTACCACTAATATGTCCGTGAAATTAGCTAGAAAAATATTGAAATGTTGGACTATACAAGGTGAAAATTGTGTCTGGAACACTGAATAGATTTTCAAAACAATATTTTCTTAAAAGAAGCTTTTTATGGTATCCAAAATTATAAAAAGTGTGCTAATAATGTATACGTAGGTACTTTAAATTCGCGGTCAGTGGCGTGCGTCTGCATGGTCATGGGGGGCATAATTTTTTTAATGGGAAACACTAGTGTTCATTATATATTCTTAAAGAGTACACTTTTTTGGGCATAGCGGCATAGAAAACTGATTATATACAGTGTGTCGAAGGAAAGGACAGCATTGGGAAATCGGAAATTCCGATTAGTTCCGAAGATATTCGAAAAAAACCCGAAATGCATATTCGTTTTTATTTTTTCTGACCCTAGCTGAATAGATACCAAAAAACAAATATCACTTCGTCATACGCATTTTTAGTTGGAGACACGGGACCCTTTTACAGGAAGTTCCCCACGTTGGGCGCCACTTGTAAGTGGCTAGTTACACTTACAGAGGTTGAATACTCTGCGCTCGTAAAATAAAATTTAATTTTTTTTATTTTACTTTTATTTACCTTTATTTTTGAGTGGGCGGGGTTTCAGCCAAGGCTGCTCTACCAACCCAACCCACTATACGTTTACAAATATCCATGTCCGAACCCGGATTCGAACCAGGGACCCTTAGCACCGCAGTTCATCTTTAACTGAACTGCGCCACACGGGATACGGCACTGGTAAAAATTTGACTATAACGTCTAATTTTTTGTAATGAAATTATGAATACCTAGCTCAGTAATAAATGATGGTTCAATAACTCTTCCCCTGTGTTGGTTCTTTATCCCCTCTTATAGTTTGAAACTCAAAAACCCGTTTCCCTTGTTTTATCCACAATATTAAATTGCCGATGCTCCGGAATGCATATAATATGTCAAAATGTACCCTTGTAACTTAAGGTTTTAACAGCAAACAAAAGCTTGAATTAATTATCATTAACGTTTTTACCGGTAGCCGTTTTATTCGTAAATTTGTTGCACTTATTATAAACAAGTTGGATGTTTTTTTTTAATTACACGGAATGTGTTTGCACCCTGGATCTTAATGCTTTCGTAGTAACCATTAATTTCAATGCGAAAAACCTTAATCCAAATATGCACAAAAACAAGGGAAGATTCGCTGACTTCGTTCGTTGGTTCGCGGATTAGTCAACACAAATACAACACACCATTCGCTAAATTATAGGTGGTTGATTTCACTCCACTCGCGACTCAAAGCGAAAATTCGCACAAAATAAAGAAGCGACGCCACGGTGAACGCCTTAACTTCGCGGCTAGCTTTGCGCTAATTCTCTGACGAGTAAACGCGCACAACTAACTTTTTTTGTTTTTATTTTTCGAGGGGTGGAGTTTCAGCCAAAGCTGCTTTACCAACCCAACCCACTGTACATTTACAAATGTCCATGCCCGAACCCGGATTCGAACAAGGGACCCTTAGTACTGCAGTCCTGCTTCAACTGATCTGCGCCACGCGGGCCGGTTAAACCTCGCTACTACTTTTTTCTTTTTGAGTGACATCCATTCTGAAACCCAAACTTTTTTGACTAAAACAAACTAAATTGGCCATCAAATTTTGGCGATATGGGGCTCATTTGAAAGGGCTTGGTCCAAGGATTCCGTGCATACCGGTATTTTTTGCTTTTGCGTATGCGCAGTGTCAAACATTTGGATTAACGCATGTGTAATCCGAACTTTTTTTTTAAATGAAGATATTTAAATGAAACTTTATATGTAAACACTATCAAATAAGTAAAATTAACGACGTTTTGAAAATGTATAGTTTTTCGCATGCGCAATGGCAACTTTCTTATTTATGAAAGCAGTTAAACGAAATATCATATGTAGGCACCTTGAATGAAATTAAAACTAATACCGGTTTCAAAATTACTGTTAACGCATGCTGTATGTTTTATTTATGAAGGTATTCAATGAAATTTCTATAATGTAGACAATGCGCAATGTGCTATTTACAAAAGCATTAAAAGAAGTTTCATATGTAGACACTTCGAATAAAAGTAAGTAAGTATACGCTCCACTGTTTTTCATTAAACTGTATAGACTTCGACGATAGACGGCTCATTTGAAAGAGAATGGGGTAAGGATCTCGTGCCTACCAGTATTTCTCCTGCTCCTAGCATTAATATTATTAGCAGGAGAATACGCTCTCGTCATTTATGTTTGCCATAATGACATTTTAAACTTGTTATTACTTGTAGGCTAAATGTGTATCGTTAATTATTACACTATTTACTTATTTTAGATTCTTCTGGTTACTGGCGTTCTTTGTCGCCTTACTTTGTGCAACGTACTTCATAAACAATATCTACAGTAAATACAATCGTAGTCCGATAATCATTAGTTTAAATCCAACAGCAACACCGATTGGATCACTTCCATTCCCAGCAATCACCATTTGCAGCATGAACCAGGCTATTAAAAAAGAAGCGGAACAAATCATGCTGTCAGGGTAAACATCCTTTGGCATTTGCAGGAGTTCCAAATAGTTTGTACGTTCTAGGACAGACGTTGAAAAAATGTTGCTCGACGATTATTGCAATGGAAACTCTTCGTTTGGAAACTTAAGCAATCTTAGCGAGGAAGTGGGAAAATGGGAAAACGTGCAAAAGTTTATTTTAAGGGTAACTTGTTTGCTAAAAATCGCATTAGCTAACCAACCATTTCTAATGGCTACGTATGCTATACAGAGCGTTTATTTGAAAACGAACCTGTTTAACAAGAAGGAAAAGGTTGCAAAAACCCGTCAATCTAGATAGTCAAGGGGAAAATAGTCGATAAGTATAGCTTCGTTGCAAAATTACCTTTTCTCTTTCACCCACGTACAAAAACGTACCCTCACTTCATTATTTTTATACAAATGCTTTGAAAATCAATGGGATGCGAGACCAAGTGAACTACTCTCAAGGCCTGAATAGGGGACAGGGGCACTTGGATGAGCGAACTAAAGAATCACTGTTTTTTTCCTTATGCTACGGTATTAACGACATCGACATTAATGGGCCTTCGACTTCATCACGGGCTTCTTTGCGAGCGTATTTTAGAAAAAGATCAACGAGTCCATGGGAGGCAACTCTTGTACATCTAAAAGTTAAGCTTTTTCTACAAAATATCCAAGAGATTGCACCATTTACGCAATCCAATGGAAAATAAATTTGATAATGAAGAATCTGAGGCGGGCTTACGTCACACTGTTTATATACGCGGGGCGTCACTTTTAAAACTTGCAGTTGGCCATATTTTCCAAACTCAAGAAGATATAGAAAATCGCGCAAAACCTTTTCGGGGGTATCGAGGGTGAACCAGAATGACGTTATGAGTGACAACCCTCCAAACCCCATTAATCCCCCCCCCCCTCTCCAAAAATCCTAAATGACAACCTTATACTTGTGACACATCGTTGGAAAGCTGCTGAAAAATGCTTTCCAGTGGTACCAATAAAGTCAATATTAATTAAAGACAATTTAACAAAAATTTAATAATTAACAAAAAAAATAAAAATTAAGCCATGCCTATGTTCAAGATTTGGTCGCTAAATTCGAAGAAACGGGATCTGTTCTCAATAAACAAGAAATCAACCAAGATTGCTTAATGAAGCAGCTCAGGTTGAAGTTCTTGGCCAATTTGCCATAAATCCCTCAAATGTCAACATTTAGTTTTTTTTGGTTAATTATTAAATTTTTGTTAAATTGTCTTAATGAATATTGACTTTATTGGGACCACGGGAAAGCATTATTCAGTAGCTTTCCAACGATGTGTCACAAGTATGGGGTTGCCATTTAGGACTTTTGTAGAAGGGGGGTGGGGGTTGTCGCTCATAACGTCATTCTGGTTCCCCCTCGATACCCCCGAAACGGTTTTGCGCGATTTTCAATATCTTCTTGGAAAATATGGCCGAATGCAAGTTTTAAAAGTGACGCCCCGTATACTGGTACGTTCACAGTCCTAGAAAAGGATCCACTAATCCACATTCATATTGAATTTACGACTTTTACTGTCCGTATTTCGCGATTTATTTCTTTTGCATAAACTTTAATTTGAGTTAAAACGTCAAGAACTTGAAGTAGTATTTATTGAGATCCTTGCACGAATTTTGTTCAAATTGTTTCGTGGGTGTCGGATATTTCTTTGAAATTTTAACCATAGATGCTTTTGGTAAAGAAAAACACAACACAACCTTTTTACAAAAGAGACATCGATGTCCGGTTCAACCGAAAGTGATACCGTAAATTTTAATATGCCTTCGGATGGATTGTGATGTCGAACATAAAATTGTGTTTTTTTCGAATCTCGCCAAATAAAAGAGCGATCTGTTCTATCAAAAGACATCATTTGCTTTTACCAATTACCTTTTTAAAAAAGCAATTTTCCAGAAACCTCTACTGCCAAAAACATCTAGACCAACTTGCCCAGGTTGCACAATGACGTGAGAACGAAACGGATCTGAATATCTGATTCTCCAAAACGACCAATCCCGTTACTTTGATTTTATGTCGCGACAAGCTGTCGCCCCCAAGCTTTCACATGCAAATACTAGCTCGGAAACAAATGACCCAAAACATATAAAAGTAAGAAAAATGTAAATGCTTTAGCAAGCTTCCGTTATAGTATTTGGGTGGATAAAGGCTATACGGAAGTTGGGTTTGGGGAGTACAACCTTTTACTTCTGTGGCGTTGAAAGACATACTAAATTAAGAGGTGGTTTGGAGAAGAAGGCTCTGTACAGAGTTAACAGTGAATTTAAATTGCAACTACAATGCCGTTTCTCGCGAATGATGATTATTAATATTTTTAAGGTGAACCCTCCATGCCAAGAGACAATAAGGACTTGTTTCTGGCAACAGCAAGAGTATGCTTGTACGGATGTCTTTAATAATGGTCTTACAGACGATGGTTTATGTTGTACCTTTAATGCACTTCCAAGGGATTATATATTTCGAAACCCGTAAGTATCCAAATTGTGATAATTTAAGTGAGTTTTTGTGCGACGGATCGAGGTTTTATTAGCAAACTCATTTTATGATACAGTTTTATTATGAAGGAAACTTTTTGCTCTGAAATATAATCTGTATGCAAAGCTTCAAACCCGGCATTCTACCATGATTCCTTCGAGAGTTTTACTTAAAAAACCATTCCATCCAACCGACCGACTGAACAGCCAAAGTGAATATATAAGCGCTACTTTGTTTCAAAAACGCGTTAAAAATGAGATGTACTTATAATTACAACTTTGAACACACTATATACATACAAATAACGCAACCTATAACACATGCCCCGCCGTGAAAATGAGTGCACAACAAAGCCTAGTGGAGTAACTCACTATTGAATTATTTTTGTAATTTTTATATTATTGTTTTCAAATGTGAATCGTTTCTTTGTGATGAAAATACACAGTTATATTTATAAAGAAGTAGACATAGGGACTTACGTGTAATAATGTTTTTCCCTATGTCATCTTTCTGAAGGGCGCCTCATTTTATGCAACCAAAATAACATCTTAACACAAATAAAGATCTGGGTGTCAGTAAATCTCTTATGCTTTTTAAACTGTTTCCAGCACTGTGCCAAATGAAAATATTATCTTTTTCTTCAGTTGAATATATCGCACACGAACGAAAATAAAAATACGGAAGCCAAAGCAACAATATTCAGATTGGTTAATATGACACTTTATTTGTTTTAAGAAGTTATTTTGGTTGCATGAAATTAGGCGTCCTTGAGAAGATTTTGTCACTTAAAAGTAGACATTGGGAAAAACAATACAGTAAATCCCTGTGTCTACGTTTTAATAAATATCACTGTATATCGTTGCTCAAAATTGCAATAGAATGGTTCCACTTTTTACCATATTTTATAAGTAGAGCTCAAATACCAAATTACTTTCAGTCAAGATATGGCAATCTTAAATTTAACTTTCCAACGCGAAGTGGACGACTGGAATCCGGAACGCGGATTTTTACCCAATGCATCACTAACCGCATTACCTTGGAGAGCTAAAGGTAAAACGGTTACTGGTGGAATAAGTGAGTAGAAAATTTGTAGGACCTGGAACACATTTGGGATTAACATTGGTTTTGGATGCGCAGCTGTCATCATATTATTGTTCGTCGAGTACTGGAGTCGGGTTTAAGGTAGGATAATTTCAACACAGGAGTATTGTCGCAATTGTATTTGCTACTTGTAGGTTTTGCTGCATAACCCCTTAGAAACTCCAAAAATGGCCGATTTTGCAATACTAATATCTCCAGGATTAGAATCAAGAGTTAGTATAGAACCGAAAATATATGACGCCTCATACACAATAAAAGAAATAGAAATCGAAAAAAGGATGTGTTACTTTACGAATGAGAGATCTTTGCAGTTCTATAGGTATGATTTACCTTTTTTTTAGAAAAACTACCAACACCAAATACCTGTGATGGTCAGTAACTTTATGACGGAGACAGCATTTCCAGATGTAAGTAGACCTTCTGCTAGTGACAGTTTTCCTGACAATACGCAAGTGTCACAGGGGTGAATCGACAAACGGTACATGTAGCGTGGTAATACTTAAACAGGTGTAACGGTAAATTACAATTGAAGTGTATATAGCAGCAACGCCATTGAATTTTTAATTAAATAGCCAACTTAGGTGGTATTTCCCAGGTTCAAATTTCATCCAATGCATATACTTTAAATTTGTTTTTTCTGGCGCACGGTTTGGCGCTAATTTTTAATTTATGGTTTCTTAGACTTGAGCTCTGACAAGCCTCCTCTTTCAAATTCTCATGGACGCTTTCCTACTCTTTTTAATTTTCTAACTGAGCTACAAAATGGTGCGAATAGGATACAACAATCATTAGTAAATAGACTTTGTTCGCTTAGAAATCACCAGATTTTAAGGTAACTGAGTTCGCGTTTCTCACACCGCGTCGTGGTATCATTATGACCAATTTTGATTCAGCTATTTCCCACCAGCCACGCATTCGGTAGACATTGATTTAAAAAATAAAATTCATTGACACTCAGTACCTAAAACTGAGCTACCCTAACGAAATTCAATTCCAAACCATATATCACCATAAAACTCATTCCGATTAGAAAAATATTTTAAAAACGCGCTTAGATTCATGTGTCCTAATTATTCTAACCAACTGTAAGAAAAAAATCAAATCAAATAAAAACGGTAGAGAGCTCCCGTTACAGTGTACGCTCATGCACAGTGGTGTAGGTGTAAATATTCAAGTGTGGGAACTCTAATCATGTTCTGATAATTAACTACCATAGGCGAGCCAGAATGCCCCCCCCCCCCCATCCTTTATAAGTTGAAGTCCGAAATTCTCACCGATTTTTAGTTACCAAGTATTACTATGGTTATATTGTTTGAAGCTACTAGTAATAAACTGTAAACCAGTAAGCAGGTAGTAGCAGAGTATCAGTAACAGTAATAACAGTGAACGTTCATTAGTCAACTCGTCGCACTCATCTTTGGAGACTATTTTAGTTCTGCCCTCGTAATCATTTTTCATGATGAACAAATTCATAATCGAGTGAAAAATTCACACACGTAACCTCTAATACTAATAAACGGATAATAAATAAACGTACTAACTTCTCACTTTCTTATGCCACCGGAAATACTTTCTGTTGTTTATTTGCTGATGATTCACGTTCAAATGTAGCGCTAGCGGGAAGAGGAATGCCGTCTTTTCATTCCCAATAGTGCTCATACCTATTTAGAAACTTCTTTCCTCTCGCTAAGATTTCCTTCGAAAACTAGATGGCTAGCGTAACGAATAATAATTAAATTCTTAAAGTTTTTGGTGTAATACCCCAAGGAAAGCTCTTGTATATGTCTCGTTTGTTGTATTAGAAGTGTAAAATTGTTAGGTGACGTTTGTATCAAAACTAATGAAGCGTCTAGGTATTTTTTAATTACAAATGCATTACACTTTCTACCGAGTAGTTGTGTAGCGATTATTTGTTAAATGATAATTTCAACTTTTTGCAGGACCTATACGGAATTAAACTGTAAATTAGAATGCCAAACAAACCTTACGTTGTCTTTATGCGGATGCGTTCCTTTTTATTTGCCACGTAAGTTCTTATTACCTAAGATATTTTGAAAAATCTGATGAATTTTTCAGGGAACAGATTGAAAAAGATTTGTAGTAAAAGTAAACAGATCTGTAGTAACCTCGCAAAAGGTTAGTATAAAATCGCAATGCTTATGGAAATAAAAAAAACCAGTGTATTTGTATATCTAACGCTAATTAACAATCGTCAATATCGATGTGGTTTAGTGAAAAGCCATACTTATGTATCTAATATTCACTTATTAGCGGCGTCATACTGGGCCGACATACGATAAGCGATAATTCGCAGGCGATATGTTGCGACGATATAATGCTACGATATTATCGCCCGCTGTATGAACCACCGTAGTGATAGATTGTCGCAACATATCGCCTACGATATATTGCCTCAGTATGAAACACGCACGATGTGTGAACCTTATTTACGCCTCCCTTTGAATTTCAAGAATCTTATCGTATCGCGTATGGAGTATCGCCTACGATATATCGCTTATCGTCTATCCCCCCAGTATAAATCCCGTCTCACCGTTTTAAAAATTTGAAAACTGCAACAATATTACTTCGATATTACTAGAAATATGATCTGGTTTACTTGTGAAGTGTGTACCTAATTAACTAATTTTTAGTTGGAAAAAGTTTATTCATTAATCACTATTAATTAGTAATTCTTGATTTTACAGAAATAATGGAAATTCACAGCCAAAATGGGTAACATAACCTGCAATAGGACACATTCGCCAACGGGAGTGATTAGTTTTGTTTCTTTTAGATCGAGTTGTCACTGCTTGCCCGGATGCTTTGAATTGGGGTTTGAAGCATCGGTGTCGTTTGGACAATTGACGGATACTTTCAAAATTAGAGAACAGTACATAAAAAACGTGTCCCCCGAGTATTTTAGGTATCCACATACTTACTTTTCCCAAATGCCTCGTATAATAATGTATTTCGTAGGCAAAACATGGCAGTGCTTCATTTCTTCTTCACCGAGTCCAAATTTACAAGCTACACAAAGAGTGAATTGTACGGATTTTCTGAATTTTTATGTAAAATCCCAGCGCGATATCTATGCTCTTAAAATCCACAGATTCCTTTTCCAGCAAACACTGGTGGACTGTTGGGCTTATTCCTTGGATTTGGCGCACTAAGCTGTGTGGAAATATTTTACTATTTTTTCTTGAAGGTAGTCTGCAATTCACTACAGAGTCGACGAAAAAGTAAACAAAACATGAAAATTAAGAAACGTGTGGTAACTAAGGGTTATCCCTTCCACATAGCTAACTAAATCCTTAGTGTTTGCTAAAACTACACTGAACTGCTTAGGTAATTCACGCAAAGTTGGACAATAATGTATAGATACGTACATAATGTATAATAAAATAAAGCTTAACTTTTGCGTTTTTTTATCAGTCAATACAGTTGGGTGAAAATGAGGAAAATACCGGTATCAAAATAACAATGACAAATGATCTAAAGGAGCATGCCACTTGCATCGATATACAGGATGGTTCCAAGTGACTTTGAAAATTTATTAACCAAAAGCACAGACAACTTATACTATACAGACTGATTCGATTCGATTCGAGGGCCACCATGGAGATCTTGTAAATTGCAAGTTTAAATTTGGCAAAGTTGTGTATTTTGACGTTTAACAAAATGCCGTTTTGAAACTGAAAAAATTCCGACTACATTCGGAGATATCCCGAAAAAAACGAAATTTTGTAAAATTGTTGTTATTTTTTACCGAAGTTATTTAAAAAGATATTTCAAAATAAATGACACATTATTATGGCCACTGGAATTTTTTGCATTAGGTGTGCAAGACGGCCATCAAATTTATTTCGCTGTCTAAAAGGGCTCCCCCCCCCACGAATTATTTCCTGAGATGCTGTTTTTGAAAGTAAAACGTGCGTAACTTTTACCTACGACAACCAATTGGTCTCAGATTTTGCATACGCATGCCTTTAGTGGTGCCAAGTAAAACTTTAGAAAATGGGGGGGTTAACACATGCTCTACCTTTCATAGTATTCTAATAAAAGGTCTAATCGAAATAAATTGGTTTGTACAAACTATAACTTGCCCGTGCGACTTTTTTTCGAGATTACTGAGCGACGGGGCCTGAGGGGGGGGGGTAAAATTAATTTTATCTCTCATTGTATTCTAAGTAAAGGTCTCAACGAAAGGAACCGTTGTCTACCATCTACTGCCCTTCTTTCTGTTTTCTTATCAAAGTACGCGATGTAAGGGGGGGGGGGAGGGGAACTAGTTTTATCCTTCACGGTACTCTAATGAAAGGTCGCAACGAAAGGAACTAATTTCTATTAACCATAGCCCTCCGCCTCGACCTCTTATCGTAATCGGGTATATTCCCTTATACCTCAAGAACGGATTGTCGGGTACTCACAAAGGGCGATTGAGACGTCTGCAAGAAGTATATCCATTGGTGACGTCAAAACAAAAGCTATTTAGGTTAAAAAATGCGCTTTATCTGCACACGAGTTGTCCACAATTTATACTTTGTTTCTTATGGAAGTAATTTCTAGTTTTTGTGTCATTTGATAGAGCATTTTTTCTGATTTCAATCAGATATCACTATTTTTTAATAAGAAATGGCGCTATTCGCAAAAACGCAAGAAACTACGAATATACACAACCCAAGACAATGTTTGGCAGGCAAAAAGAAAATAATTTTAACAATATTTAAAAAATAGTGATGTTTTCATTTTTGAAATCAGAAAAAAATGCACTATAAAATTACACAAAAAGCGAAAATGACTAGATGATAAGAAAAAACAAAGTTGGCGATGGTTCACCGCAATTCACGTAATTTCTCTCAGTAGATTTTGAGTTATCCTGGTAACAAGCTTTTTTCTGAGATGAAAACAATACTTTGCCTACCCCTATATGGGTGCGGAAAAGTTATAATAGAACAATCTAATCGCTGTGTTCTGTGGATTCGGCTGCATTGCAAAAATATGATTCTCTAAGTGACTACTCTTACGGCTATTGTTACATTCGTCTTATAACGATCTTGGCATAACCGTGTTTAAATTTTAAAGTCTTACCTTCTAAGCAGCTAACATAATTTGGTACCTAATTGTTGCGACAAGTGCTCGAAACACGTACATTACGCTACTAAATATGAACCGTACATCCCGTGAATTAAACGTGATTCTTGCAGACGCTATTTTTTCTTTCTACTTTTTCTCTCTACCATTTTTCTTTACCTTTTCTCTCTACCTCTTCTCTCTACCTTATCTCCCTACCTTTGCGTTGTATCCTTTTACTCTACTTCTCACTCTACTTTTTCACTCTACCCTTTTATTCTACCCTTTCACTCTGTACTCTACCTTTTCTCTTTACCTCTTCCTAGGTAGAGTAGGTAGAGGAAAGGTAGAGAGAGAAGGCAGAAGATGTGGAGAAAAAGTAGAGACAAGGTAGAAAGAACGTAGAGAGACGGTAGAGAGAATGTAAAGAGAAGGTAGGGAGAAGGCAGAGAGAAGGTAGAAAGAAGAAAACAGAACAACCCACCAGGTTTAATGCCCTGACCGACAGAACCGTACGGACCTAATCTATTGTCCTTCCAGAAGGCCTAAATCGTACCCTTCTTGGCATGTACTTCATCCATACGGCGCGCATCACGTGGAAGGTTCTAGGTGGACACTGGCAATTCATAAGCGAGCAGAGGCAACACCCGTTTTCACTAGCCTGCTTCATGTCCTTTCCACCACTACCGCTAGCGTCGCCCAACGCACCATGGGATTTGAGACCGATCCTAGCCGCTGGCCGCCAACTTAAAGCAGACCGCTAGATCTACGTGGTCCTAAAGGCTGGTTTACGGTGTGATTGTCAAATTTATTGCTCAAATAAACCGAAAGAGTGAATACTATGTACAACATAGGATGTAACGATTTCTTGTTCCAATATACATTGTCGATCACGGTACAGATATTCCATAAATTTGGACCTATAGACCTTGTAGTGTCGCTACAAGAGTTTCACACCGAGTTCGTAAAGACTGTACCAAGGCTCAGAGGTACAAAGCATCAAACCAGAAACCCACTGGACTACTACAGATTCCACCAGACGCTCAATCGATGTATCTAGAGTCTAGACTACTACCGGAAGACACCACAAAGAACAATAAATTTTGATTGTCGAAGACAGAATGCCACGACGACTGAGAAGCGACAACGGCTCACAATTCGTTAGCAACATTACGCAGCACGTCACGCATTGCCTAGGAATTACCCAGTCGTCATGACCGCTCTATCGCCAGCACGTTAAGTCGTTAACCGCTCAGTATCTTATCCGCCTGACCGAGATACTACGAGAATCCTAACTAAATTAAGAAGAAGCACAATCCAAAGACAAAAACCATGGAGATGCAAGACAAAGAGAAGCACCCTTTTATAAACCTATAGATATGTCCTGGCTAATTCTTTGCGCAAAGTCAAAAAGGGGATTCAGCCGATTTATAAACCTCCTTTTTTTATTATGACCCTCGTTACGATTGCTCCGTGGTCAACCGTCTCCGATTTTTATTTATTGCACCTGCTGTTCAAATTAAGCACATATCATGACTAGTCGTTATTACGTGACGGTATTTCGGGGAGACAGGAATGGGACTTAAATGAGAATTTATGCAAGGGTACCTATTTGTGGAGTTGTGTACAATAGGTAAGTGGAATTCAATTAATTTTATTGCTCTGTGGCTCCAGTGTGTAGTGTTGGCTAGAAGTACTGTTCCATGTGCCCTACATGTCTTTCTCTCGGTTCTAAAGCAATAAGTATTACTTCTTTTTAATTCTTGACGATTCCAATTACTTATTTGTAAATAAAGTCTATAAGATGATTACTGGGGATCAATTTCATCTTGCGAAAGGATACGCCAGTTTGGCGTCATTGTTATTTTCTACCACATTCTTCTTTGTTTTGCGCTTATTTTTCTTATGTTTTCGGATTGCAGTACAACAAATCCTTAGAGATAAATAGTAGATGATTTCCACAACGCTCAGTGCGCCAAATCCGAGAAATAGTCCCAGCAGTCCGCCAGTATTAGCTAAAATTAGAAATGCGTCGATTCCTCGTTAGCAATACATAACTTACACAAGAACTCCGAAAATCCGTAAAGTTCACTTTTAGTGTTCCTTGTAAATTGGGATTCTGTGAAATAAAAGTGAAGAACTGCCATGTTGTCCCTAAAAACAAAACTGCCCGATGATACTTGCTATTGCAATGGGAAACTCACATAAAATAATCAGGGTTCTCATTTTTTATTAGTTGTTCCTTTATTTTGAAACTGTTGGCCAGTTTGCCAAAGGTAACGGATGCGTCATATTGTAACTCAAAGCAGGCCGGTAAACAATTGCAATTAGACCTACAGGTTCAGGTTTTCTTAAAATGCAACCTAAGATTATGTAAAGAAAATGTTACAACATTTCCTTTACATAACCTTAGGTTGCATTTTAAGAAAATGTTACCCATTTTGATTGGGCGTTTCCATTACTTCTGAAAAGAAAGTTTGAATGCGGTCACCAAAGATTTGCAAAAATACGAACCTTTTGCAACGTTACTGCAGGCTTCTTGTTTTTTGCTACAAATCTTTTTAAATCGATTTTCTAAAATTATTTTCTATATTTCTAACACAATTTTTGGTTTTGCTTACTGGGCAGGTAAAATGGAACGCAACCACACAGTGATAAGGTGTAGTTCGCTTGACACTCTAGTTTGCAATTCAGTTCGGTGTAGGTCCTGCAAATTACATGCAGGTATATTCATGAAATCATGACATTGAACTCAAGAGTAAATGAAACGTTACGTCTCTTTGGATTACCCTCATGTCAGTCAAATCGAAAGCGTGGACTATCTGTTGGATAAGTCAAGTATCATCGTGGTGTATCAAAATGAAATATGGTACAGGTAAATGGTCTGGTAAGAAGAGAATGTTGGCATATTTTTCACTTTCTGGTCACCTCCAGTTTCATTGGAAATGACTCCCGTTTTGAATTTTTAAATGGAAGACCCTGTATATTTTGCAATATTAAAAGTGGCTCTAAAAAATAAGGTAGACGCAAACACTTCCATTTGGCCAGAAAGTAAAAAAAAATATCCTCTTCCATACCATTTACTTATTCCAAATGTTATTGTGACATACCTAATACTCTAGCAGCTATGACTCCTCTAATAAATTCGTTGACACTCGGTATGTTAAGCTCAAACAATGATAACGTTCTTTAAAAAAAATGTTAACAATGCGTCGTGAGGAGTAAAAGCCCGACTATACCCTCTCTCTTTTTTCTGACGTCACGTGACGTCTCAGTGCTGCGTTGTAATTTTGTGGCGGTGAGTTTGAATTTTCGGATATTGGCCATTTTCTAGCGGTAAATTTGAATTTGTGCGGGGAATTTGAATTTTTTACAGTCATTGGTTGGCCATTTTAAATGTACGCGGTGTAACGATAGTTATTTATATACAGGGTACCTGTGATGGGTGTTTTTCTATAGGTCATTAACTGCTAGGCCGTTTTGTTTCGATGAGGCCAAATTGAATTGAGTCTTCACGAATTTGTTGACAGTGTTATAAACAGAGGATAGGATAGACACAGTTTATATGTAAATAGTGAGCATTAACACATCGCCGTGCGTAATGACTAATGACCAATATAAATCAAATATGCTATTGTATGATCTAGTTTGTAGTTACCCTCACTTCACATTGAAACTTATCCAGAAACGAATGAATGAAGATGATAATAGAAAATGGTATGCAAAGCGTAATATGTAACAAAAAAATATACACGTTTCGAAATATTAATCGACCTGCTCATATGCAAAACTGATTTAGGTGAGAGTACCGTATAGTGTTCTAGTACAGTACTTAAAGGCAAAAATATGAAAGAGCAAACTAGTTTAATACTGTGCGTAGGTTCTTTAATCACAAATTGCTTGGCTTACATTCACTGTCGGCTGTGATACATTGTTTTGTTGATAAATATGATGATAGGCAGTCATTACTTCGGTCTCGGAAAGCATAGATACCGTTTTCGAAGACGATTAATAAAAACCCAATGTTGTTTATATTAATTTTCGTGATAGTAAACTATAACAGTGCAAATAAATGAAACGCGAAATAATTATTGATTATTGGCCATGATTATTTGCCATATTACATATTACTATACGTTTTTCGGAAACTGTAATAAAAACGAAGGAAAAGCTGTGTATTTTCGCATTTTCGAATATATCTTCCAAAAAACGTTTTTTTGGAAGCTTTTATATGGCATCCAAAATTATAAAAAGTTTGCTAGCAATCTACGTACTTTAAATTTGTAGTCAGTGGCGTATTTCTGCATTGTCAAAGGGGGCTTATTTTTTAAGGCAACCATTATTTTTCATTACATATTCTCAAAAAGTAATCGATTTTATAATTTTACCAGGTCAATAATCAAGTTTTTAAGGGTCATCAAATGGAGTCCTTTGGATAGAAAATGCTCTTACACTTTCTTAAGGACTGGTTAAAGGCTTTTAAGGTCTCTTCTGCCATGCATTTGTTTTTACTAACTCACCTCATTTATGTACGTTAAAAACACGTTTTGGGCGTCTTTGACTCAATACGCGATTTCGTTATACAGTCGTGGTCAGAAGTAATGTCCTCCCTTAAACACCTCAACTGTAGAAAAAGTGTGTCAGTTCCTCCGTGATTTAGTTCAATTTCATTTCAGTCTTAGGCATTTTCCTCATGTTGAAAAAAGCTCAAATTTCACAGGAGATCTGGTATATTAATTATGTGCTCCACATGAGATAATCGAGGGACATTATTTCTGACCAAAACCGTGATAGCAGTGTACAAAGATGCAGTATTGTGCAAAATGGCGATCAAAACTATAATGAAGACACCAGGGTGTAGCGAATAAACATCGCCAAATGTCTAATTCGTAGAACTCAATAAATTAATTAGTTTATAGATACCTATAGAATTGTAAATCTTTTTCATTAGTGAAGTAGCACATCCTTTTCTTAATATCAATTCCTCGTATTGTAAAAGACGCGTCGGATATTTTGGGTCGTATTATAACTCGGGCTTCTATACCAGGTGCCATTAGTAGTGCAAAATCGGCCATCTTAGGTGTCTCTAGTGGATTATGTAGCAACACCTAAAAATAGCACGTTCGATCTGAAGAAAGCGAGTGTTGGTACTCCAAGATCAAACCTTGAAACCCACTCCTGTACTTGAAGAACAGTAATACGTCTTTAAATTGGCATCCAACACCATCGTTAGTCCTAAATGCGTTCCTGCACCTAATGAAGCCACTATCAGTTGCATTAGCGAAGTGTGAATATTAGATGCAAACTGATCATGATTATGGAATGAGAATGGAAAACAGAATCAACAAAAACTTTACCTGCTGCTCTCCATGGTATGGCGCTTAGCGATGAATTTCCCGAATATCCATGCTCGGGATTCCAATCGTCTACTTCTGGTGGGAATGTATAGTTTAAACTGGCCATTTCACGCCTGCACTCCACAACCAAAAATTTAAACCGTTACCGTTCCTTCTACTTACGGATTTCTGAATATGTAGCTCCTGGGAAGGGAGTTAAACGTACAACACAAACCATCATCGGTTAACGCGCTATTAAATAAATCCAAACATGACATTTCTTCTTGCTTCCATGTACAAACTTTTAAGATTTCCTGACAAGAAGGATTTACCTAAAAAAAAAAAAATAAGTACAGCCAAAGGAGGCATTTGTAACTTATTCTTATTACCATGTCTCACTTCCAAAGCAACTACCTACTACCCGTTTTACTTACTCCTGAGTCCTGATCTAACGTCTGAGCCTTTGTAATATTTCAGTACACAGTCATTGTTCTATTTATGGTCACTTGGTGCACGCTCTGTTCTGACCATAAGTTGTGTGAAGAACAGAGCCACCAACTGATCATAAAAAAATAAATGTGGAATGACCTTTTCTACAAGGTTAGGTCGGGAAGAAGTAAAAGCATTTCTAGTTTCAAATCCAGAAACAAATGATTTTCAAAATCGTACACTTGAAGAAACCAGCAGTAGCACTAGGGATGTGCTCCAAAGGGTTCAACATTCCATTAATGAGCGTCTGGGGCATTGCGAAACCGAAGAAGGTTCACAATTGGAAAATTTATTTAAAAAAAACCATAAACATGTTGCTTTCTCATTGGTAGTAATAAATCTTAAAATACCTAACTATGATATTGGTGTTGGATTTTTTAAAATTTCCTTTTAAATAAGGTAAATCTGAACAAGGGTTGCAATTTAAAAGTTTTGGGGTTATCACTCCCTAAAAACTCTCCAGTGTATGAAGTTTTAAATCATCTAAAATTTAGTTTTTTTACCCAGAGCCCTTTCTCACGAGGCGTTTTTGAAGCGTTGCGTAAGTCCGCTAGTTGCATTCTAACTACTAACGGGGCCGCATATTTGTAACGGCAGACGCGTCCGTATATATCTATGCAGAAATGGACCCTTCACCACAACAGTTTCGGAATGCGAACTCGGTTTAATAGTCTAGTGGAAAGGATACTCGGTTTACAACCGGGCGGCTCGGGTTCAAGTCTTTGCGTGGCACGTTTTTTTTTATAAAAAGCAAAAAAATATGCTTGCTATCCGGATGAAAATCGTGTGTCAAAGAGGTGCTCTTCAAAGTAAACGTTTAATAAATAACAAGAATGCCGATATAATTTGCTCTCACTAATTAATTTCAAGGTTCCGGACCACAGAACTAGATGTAAATTCATATTATTTAAGATACCTCAATCTAAATCAATTTTATTAAATCACACAGCACCGATTACACGCATGATGACAACGTTTAATAGCTTTCATTCCTTGTAAAATTATCGCATTTTAAGAAACAGTTAATGATTATTTAGTTAGTTTTTTGTTTTTTCGTTACCTTATACTCATCAATTATTTTTATTCATAATTCATATCACGGAATTTAAGAGTTATTTTAGTCCTCAAAACTGTCATTGGATACAATGTATCTGTTGTTTTGAGTATTTCAATAAATAAATAAATAAATAAATATGGTTGACAAGCGCATATGTTGGCCCCTTTTTGGACAATTTTCCATTTTCACTTTGGTGATCTTTTGATGAAAATGAATTTAAATCTTTATGACGCACAAAGTGCCTCCCCCTAACCTGCCACCTTTGGGATCGCAAACTTTTCAAAACTGTTAACCACTAAGTTAAAGCGTTAAAAGATTCCCTCCCCATTCGAACCGTGCGCTCTCGTTAACTTTTTTTTTTGAAAAAAAAAAGCTTCGAGGGGTCGGCAGTTACGGAGAACGTATCTTTCAACGCCCTTGCGATCAAAAATGTGTTAAAAAAGTTCTCCTAATTGTCACTCGCTCATTCTCATTTTCGCAACGTCGGCGTCGCCGTTGAACGGCAAACCGAACGCAAAAATCGCAACTCGGTGTACCTCTCCGTTCCCTGCTAATGGTGTGCGAACCTTACCTCGATGACGTGGAGAGGGGGGGGGGACTCTCATCGCAACGGTTTTTTATATCTTCCCTCCTTCGACCGCTAAGAACCTTTAGCTAGGACTTCATCGAAAAACGACCGCGCGCGCGATTTGTACCCCTTTGCTACCCGGAGTGACCGCCCCGTGCTGAAATTGATATTCCCAGCCCCCCCCCAACTCCCGCCGGGTCCCCATGCCCACGATCCTCATAAAGTATTTGCCTATGTAAAATTACTTCTCACCCTCAAAATAAATTTTTGCACGTTCTCCCATTTGGTTGCTTCGTCGCTGGTGGTACTTATGTTCGAAAATGAGTTGTTTGAATTACAGTAGTCATCCAATAGCATTTTCTCCACTTCCGAGCTGAAACACATCGAACAAGGTCAACGAACCATCAGCTACCCAGACCGTTCGTTTACCCTGCTTCCATGATTTGTTCTGCCTCCGCCTTTTTCGCCTGATTCATACTGCATATCGTAATTGCCGGAAACGGCAAAGCTCCAACGGGCGTGGGTTTCGGATTTAAACTTACAATAACCGGATTTAAATTGTACTTGCTGTATATTTGCGAGATGAAGTACACACTACAAAAGATAGCGAAGAGGAAAGCACTGAACCAAAACAATCTGTAAAGTTATAGTGGTAGCTACTACATGGTTTAAAAAAAAATAATGCATGCCTTTCACCCCAGGAAATTGATGTGTCCCCTACGTATTTCAAGCCGTGCAAGGTGGAGTTGTAAAGGTACTCTTCAATATACTTAAAAATCTGCCTACAGTAACCTTCCTTATCATCGTCATGGTGTGCACTAAAATTCAGACAAGTCTATTCATAACTTACACGCAGCGTCCTAACCTAGCGCTGACTTTCGGTGGCCGCAGCTCCATTTTTTTGGAACCTTCCAGGTTTGGGAGCGTAGAGGTTTTACTCGTTTTCGTTGCGTAAGAGTCGGCCCATGGTATTTTAACTTGTCGCCTGGGTCTAACGGTGTTTCTCGTCAGTCCAAACATATTTATAATAGATCTAACAATTGAAAACCTCTTACTATCCTCCTTCGCGAAAAAGTCGTCATTTAGTAGACTGCGATGCCGGTTTAGGGTCTCCAATCGAATTTCTTTTGGAAATAAAGACATTAGAGCAACCTCTTCGTTTGTCACACTTCTATCACCGAATATAAAAAGACTTTAACTGAAAGAGTTGCCTGCATGCAAGTAACGACGTTGCGTGTCTAGTATAGTAGATACAAGCATATTATCACATTCGTTCATCGGTAATCTTCCTTTCAATTACGAATACAAACTCAATTTTATTGCCTAATAGGAGTCATTTTACTCTGTATCTTATAGTAAGTAGGTGGATCATTTTCATAAAAATGAAAATGAATCGTCTTTAGTAGCGATAACAATACTATTTTGCCTAGTCACCTGCACGTCCTTTAATAACAAAACTGAAGTAGATAGTTAAAAAATTTAAACACATATTGGAAGCACTGGAACTGCTGTGGCCGTTGAAGTTACAAAGAGTAAAACAAAAACGCCAATAAACCAAGGTATACTCGGTAATATATGAAAAGATTGAACACGTTTCAGCGGTACCGCTGTCGTCGTTAGCGATCATGTGATCATCGCTGATGATGACAACTTTGCTGATGAAACGCCTTCGATCCTATAATATATTATTGTTGTTTGTTGATGTTTTTTACTTTTTGGTCCCAAATTTGCATTTTAAATTGTACCCTTAGTATTTGGGGGTTTGTCTTGAACCTGTGAGTTTAATATAGCAGTAAATACGAGTGTGTTGATCTGCAGCAGAGGTTATATCACTCAATCTACTTACATTTCTACACTCCAATTTACTAAATCAGTAATGAAAATAAGCGACGGCTGTATACCTACTTGTGTATTCTACGAACTGCAATTACAAAGCTATACTAGACATTTTTACGCATTAAACTAGGGATTGAAGAATACAAACGACCTGAAGTATTTAATTTTCTTTGTATAAAGTTAAGGAAGAGGGTTGTCGTAATTTGCACTCGACAAAACATAAATAAACTTCATTTTATGGAATACTAAATCGTATATAAACAACCCTATGTATAATTAAGTGAAATCAATATGTGAGAGCGAAATGTAGGTGATTTGCCACAAGTTTTTACGCCTGTAATTAATTGTACTTGTATAAGTATTGATCATATATTACCACACATGCTTCCATAACGATAAGGGCACATTCCCAACCACCGTAGGTTATGCCTCTCATGCAACACCTTCAGGCCGAAATCACCCCCTAACTATTTGTTAGCAATGAGGCCTTAGCTTTTTCGTAATGGGTCAACACCATGACCTAGTGAATAGGATTACTCAGCGGTTTCAACATGGGGGCCACCTCGCCATAGGCTTGGAATCCTCTCCAAAGTTCTCTGTTTAAAATAATGTCCGAATCTTTAAGGACTCTAACAAAATATTAAAAAAATTCTTTCTAGGGCACGTCCAGCCCTCGCCCCAACGATATGATGATAATAATGACATTATCGTAAACGCTATTAATTTGAAAAATTCAGTAACCCTGCAAAATTCTAAAAAATTAATTGTTAATTTTTAATTAACACCTGATCTACTTCTGGGCACGAAATAAAAAAAATGTACTTGGGGACTGTTATCTACGTCGTAATTCGATTAATCATAAAACTGTTCATTTACAGATGAAACAAATTTATTTGACATAAAACAATCAGACTGAACGAAAAACATTCACTCAGGGCCAGAATAACACATACCACGCAAGTAAATGATCGATAGACAATTAATTAAAGCATATCTTACTTATTATTAATTAAGGCTTAAAGTGTAAATAATCCAAAATCTCCGAGCGTACTGCGATTTTCAAACAAACGGACACAAAATTATGATAGGTACTTCGAAACTTCACTACTTTGATTGCACTCACACTTCGACCTAAAAAGGACATTGACTTCGCTATAATTACAATTACAGTATTGACCCTTTGATAAGGCTTTTATATGATAACTTGAAGACCGTCTTCTCTTAAGCGACATGCGACGAACTTCGATAGTACGCGCAAATAGGTGAGTTTAAATTAAACGGTCCAATTAGTAAGATCAAAACTCAGTTTAATTAAACAAAAATTAATTAAAAAAACAATAAAATAATTTCTAAACCAATCGGTAGAAGCAACAATCTCCGGCAAAACTCGAGCGCTCCCAGGAGGTTTCAACCTTGCTCCTGGTCAATGGTGACGGTTTCGGAACGGTTTCGGCAGCCAACAGTAGTCAGTCAGAGAAACTGGAAGCTCCAAGGATCAGACAGGTACATCAAGAGGAAGCTCTAAAACGGAATAATTAAAGTGCACGGTAAAACAGTAATTTCGCTAAGCGGTAACGGTAATAATTACTAAAATGAATTATCTGAAGCTACGGGAAAGAAATCAGACGAAAGCACAACCCCCCTCTTATAATTAACGGAACGAAAGGCGTCATATGCTTATCTTTAAGATTAAAAGGTGCGGTTAAAGATTAAATAAATGCAAAACGTTTTAAGTTGAAAAATACGACAGATCCCCCAGATAACGGCCTCACTTTTTATAAAATTCGCAAAACGTGGAAAGGAAACATCAGATTTTCCCGGCGTAGTCTTATGATAACCTTAAAAATTAAAAAAAAATTAATTACTCGGTCACCTGTTATCACAAAAATCTCTCTTCTCTCCAATCGAAGAGAGTTTTCGGATGCTGCAAAGGTAACTAAAATATATCTACGGGAACAGCTACAACCGGCAAATTAGTTACAATGATTTCCTTATCGGCGCTAAAAAAAGGCGACAAATTAAAGTCATTACTTTACTACAGTTTTTCGTAATGACGAGCCCTTTCGATTCCATAGCTTTTATCCATGCACGGTGTGTTTATTAATTCTGATCGAATTCGTGGCCGAAATCTTTTTAAACACTTCAACCTTTTAATACTCAATTTATGTCTTCCACCAAAAAGTCACTATTCACGTCTGGTTCGCTTATTTAAAACATTTACTGCCTTCCTCCTTTCTTTCCAAAATAATGTGTGTCCTTGAAAGATCAACCTGCACCTGTTCTCAATAGATAACACGTCCTTATCTCGAAATTAATTTAATTAGCGTACTCAGCGATAACAAAAGTTCTTATCAACGATCGGAGAAAACCATGAGATAAACTTTTGCAACTACTACGCAAATAATTTCCAGATGTTCCTTATCTTACTGACACAAAATGAACAAATTAAACAAAGCAATCATTTAACCAAATTTAACAAACAATAATTCTGATACAAAACAAAATCGACTTCCAGTGGCGTCCAATTCTGGCTTTCGAGGAAAATAAGTTTTAATATCAAGAGCCATATCGATTGATATATTTTTGAGATAGCGTAATAGTTTTTGGCCGTTTATTGAAAGCAAAGGAATAAATACATAGGAATAATTGTACTAAATATTATTATGTACGGTTATCCACTCGGGTGCTAAAGGAGAAGATGTGACTTCTACAAAGCGAGAGACTTGTAACGGGTATGCATTAGAAGAAACAAGGAAAGGACATGATTTTTTGTTCCATTTATTACTAAACACACTGTATTGCAGCTATATTTTAATACAGGTCACAGAAATTCAATATCCGGGGCATTCATTTTTGTAAATAGAGGTTAATGAATATTTCTAGTAATGTTCAATTTTTATGTAGATGTATATCTTTTATCTATAGTTCAAGTTCAAGTTGGTTTGCATGTGAAAACGTTTTTAGGTAATGCATTTACATGTTTGTTAAGAATCTCATATAAATGAGTTGGGCCAATTTCTTAATGAATGGAGAACTTTAAACCATTGTCATTTAAAAATAAAGCCTGATAAGCCCTAAACTGACCCGCTATATATACCTACGCAATGTTTTTCAATTTGTGCCGTTACTCGGCTGTGGATGCTGGTTGAGTAGTGAATTGAATCGGTTGCGGTGCACCTTGGCAGTTGTGTGGATGTGCAAATGCTCTTTGATTTGCTGTAGATGCTGAATGGATGTTGTATCTGACAAATGGAAAGGTGTTGTACGATCCATACCGTTTTACTATGAACGTCATCTAATGACGTAACTGCAGTCCAGGATTTGCTCGATTTCTTCGTTCCGCTCGACAGATTTATAAAGTTGATTAACTTTCTTGAGAATCGAGACTTCGCGAAAATAAATATACCGTTTACGCGATCTCTAAACTTACCCTTAGCGGCGCTTACAATAACTTTTAAAATCTTTCCAGGATAACTTCACCTCTTCTGCGATTACAAATCTCGCAGACGGTCATATGCTATGGCAAATATGCTTGCTTCTTCCATTTTTCTTACCTGTATTGCCTTGCGAGCTTAAAACGGAACCACCGCAACGTTCGCGACCGACGTCGCTTTTCCACCAATCGCAAGCCCTTAAGAATCCATTGCCGTTTCTGCGGCTCTGTGTAGATGGAACCGACGTGTGGTACATATGGAATTTTACAGATTCGTACGCACAACAATTGAAAAAAGTACCTTGCAAAGCGGACCGCCGTTACAACATCTGCTTGTAATCTTTCTTAGTGAATCCAAGTCCAACGATATGATTTAAAAGCAAACTTGAGCAAGATGTTAAAAATTGGATTTATCCTGTCTTCCTTTTTAAATAGGAAGAGTTTATGGTCATCTTTTTAGCGCATTTTTTAAGAATTAAAAAAAATGTGCTATTGTTAGCGTTTCGTTCGTCCGTCCGTCCGTCCGCCCGGACCCACTTCTGTCGTTTCGAACTACTTCTAGGGAAATGGTCCTACAGTCTTGAAATTTTTTGAGTAGGTAGCCTTGAAGGTGTGCTAGACGGCCATCAAATTTCGCTGTTTAAAAGGGGGGCCCCCAACGAATTATTTCCTGAGATGCTCTTTTTGGAAGTAAAACGTGCATAACTTTTACTAGTTCTTTCATGGTACTCTAATGAACGGTCTTAACGAAAGGAGTTAATCTCCACCAACCATAGCCCTGCTCGACCTCTTATCGTGATCGGGTATATTCTTCTTCTTATACCTCAAGAACGGATTGTCGGAAGAGGGTACTCACAAAGCGCGATTGAGACGT